TTTGTGGTGGTGGCTGCTGTGCTGGGACCACTGGTGCTGACCCTGTTACTGATCAGGACATGCAGGGACCCCCACAGGACTGGAGAGGGGAAACTCACTCCATCAGTCTGACTCAGAGCAATTCTGCTTTGAATTAAAGCATCTATTTTAAAACATCTCCCAGTGGTCTGCTATTAAATTAAATTCCCAGCATTTCTCAAGAGCACTCAGCTTCAGAGCAAGACTTTTCCCGCTTCTGTGCATGTGATGAAGAGGAGGCAGAGGCTGCTGCTCGCCAAGCACTTCAGAAGGCAGTTCTCTGTCACCTCCCGTGCCCTTTCTCCCGCCCAGAGGTGGACACCTCTGTTTCAAGGTAGCAATACAGATGAAAAATAAGAAGTCTGGAATGGAGAAGACAACCAGAATCCTTGTACCCTCTCCCTAAGGCCAGGCATCTTGGCTGGCCACTGCAGCCCACAGCCAAGCAAAACTGACAGATTATGCCTCAAAAGCAGAATTACTCCCATTTAAGCACAGTTATCTCCACCTGAATTATCCAGAGCTCCTTTGATACACAGAAGAGGAAGATTTACTCCTCCAGCACAGCTCATCCAACCAAGAGGATATGCTGCATCCAGATGTGTTCCTCTTTGGTGACCAGCTCAGAGTGGCTCAGAGGTCAGAGCAAACCAAGCCTGTGATCAGTGAATCCTGTGCTGGTGTCCAAGTCCTACAGCTCAGGGAAGGGCTGCAGCACCCACACACACCTGCCTGCCCTGGCCCTTCCCTGGGAACCCAGCCCAGGGCTGTGCCTGCTCCAGCACAGCTCCCAGCCCAGGCAGCCAAACCCCACACGTGCTGGGAGCCCGGGCTGAGGCCACTGCCCCTGGTGCACCCAGGGCAGGGCTTGCTCAGCTCCCGTGAGCTGTGAGGTCACCTCCAAGTGCATCACCCCACGTCCACCACCCCCACTACCAGCACCCCCCAAGAGGGAGGCAGATACCCCCACACCATCCCACCAGCAGCACCAGCACCATCTCACTGTAACTGGTGAGATGAGCCCCTGTAACCACAACCTTCCTTTCACTAAACCAAGGCCTGAAGTCTTAGGCATCTCCCCAAAACTGTTTCTGAAGTGTAATTAAGTCAGCCAAAACCCCAACCCTGGAGTGCAAAAACAAAGACAGGAGCTTATAAAGCAACTTGTTCACAAAACACTTAAAAGGCACCAGAGCCAGTTAATTGTCTTCAGATTGATTTTAATATCTGTATCCCCTGTAGACATAACTCCAGGACAGCACTAGGAAGTTCCAGGATGTTTCCTATTCCAGGAAACTTCACTTCAGTCAGAACCAAGTCTTTCATATAATTTAATAACTGTTCCATTGATTTCTCTTAAATCACTGCAGCTCTGTGCACTGAAGCACTTTTAAAAATTAATACTTGTTTTAAGAGTAGGTTAATTTCAACCCCCTCTTTAACAGGGAAGATTAATAGGAGATTGCAAGGGGCTGGTAGTGGAAAGAGGGCTGGTTTATGATTAACACGTGCAGTGAGGAGCCCCCCTACACCAGGAGCAGATCAAACAAGGCTGTAACTGCATCTTTACAGCATTACTGCAAATTACTCTACCGAAGAGCAGCCAATTCCTCCCTGCCCCCACAAGCTAAATCAAGCTGCACTGCCCTCCTTCCTCCAGCCCAAGCACAGCTCAGGTTTTAAAAAAGGTGCCCAAGTTTCCTGCTAAAGCATTTAAGGGCAGAGCTGCTTCACTGAGGAGACAAGGAAGGAGCTTCTGCAGATTCCCCATGTCCCCACTGCTCCCCTCCCTCCAGAAAGATCTGCCTTATTTTTCAGGGTAACTTATGGGGAAAGAAGTCAGAAGAGGTGGTTTCTGTGTGTTCAGAAAAGTCCTGGTTTGGAAAGCCTCAATTAAATGAAGCTGAGCCCAGGGAAGCACAGATTGACTACTGGAAACAGGATCATTTTAGGTAACACAAGGTAGGAGGGAATGGGCAGGTCTGTCCTTGAAGTGAATTCACACAGAAGAGTGAAGTTTAAAGAAAAATCTGTGGTGGCTGAGAGCAAGTACTGAAGTGACAGGGATGCTTTTCTAGAGCAGGCTGCTCTAATTTCATGGGGAGGCTCTGGGGACAGTCCCCAGGTCCCCCAGCCCTGCCAAGGGAGCAGATGCCAAAGCATAAGGTAAAAAAACCTCCTGGATTGAGAGTGTTGTGGTGGCAATGAACCACCAGTGACACCTGAGAGCACTGATATGATAAAAATGCCTTTGCAGCAGACTTACTGTGCACAAGCACTGGATTCCAACTCACCTGCAGCTGAGGCTGGAAGACTGAGCAGGAAGAGAGGAACCCAAAATGTGCTTCTCTTCAGGGCTGTGATTGCTCAGTCCATGAGGAGACAACACCACAGGGTCTGGGCAAGACTTTGGCTTCAGACAACAGTTCCCAGGAAATGCTACCAGACCCCAACACGGCCTCACAGAACTATTTTCTAAACCTCAATTCAAGCCACTTGTTTATGCAAAGAATGCCAATCGACTGGCAAGGATGAATCACCTGAGACCAAGCCAAAAAACATACAATATTGTGGAGGACAGAAGCTCCAGTTCACATTAGGCTGCTCTGACCATGCAAAGGAGGCACCTTCTCCAAGATGCAGCCAGTGTTTGGTGAGGCTGCTGCCACTGCAGGCAGCCAGGGCCCTTCCCAGACAAGCAGCAGTGAATGATTCAGCTGAGAAGAACTTCCCAGAGCAATTAAGAAATGTGGCAACTCCCACTCACAGCATCCTCAGACCAGCAAAGGCTTTACACTCTGAAGTCCAGCTGAGGATCACCAAAAGAAAAGAGAGGGAAGATGGGGGAGCAAATGTCAGTGCTGGAGAGAAACACATCAGCCCCCCCTCCCCAGAGTCCCCCAGACCTGAGGGCACATGAACAATCTCCCATCATGGTCACCAACAGAAAGTGTTTACTACACAAATACCTCAACAAAATCATGAGTCACTTGCTCTTAAGATCTTTAAATCCATTTTCAGTATTCCTGGAAAACTCATTAAGGAGACAAATTGCCCAGAGGCCAGGCAGCCCAGGGTGGCTGTGGGTGGGTGTGCGGAGGGGGTGTCAGGTCACACAGGAACCACAAAACTTCACTCCAGAGCAGAGGTGATGCTTCCATCTCTGCCCCACCAGGGCAGTGAGCAGAAATCAAGCACTGTCAGGCTGCCAAGATACACACAGGGCTGCAACCCAAGGGGTTCACAAGCTCTCCTGTGCTGCTGAACTACCAGAGACAGGATTTTGGGATCCCAGAAAGACAAGAGCACAGTCTGTGAAGGCAGCACAAGCACCCGATCCACCTTGTCTGTCCCGTCACCACAGATTTAATCAAGGATCTCTTACCAAACCATGCAGCAAACTCCTCATCTTCTCTTTTGGGTTTCACTCCCCTCTCTGGCATGGTCATAACAGCACAAAGTCTAAGGGGACTTGCCACTCCTACCACCTTGCCTGGAAAAGCTGGGTACTTTCCTACAGTCACCTGGAAAGATGTAACCTCCTAAGCTGCTCCCACACCTTCTGAATGGCATGTTCCAGCTTTCCAGGCAGACTGTTAATATTTAACAGTTTTGCATCTGGAATGGCAAGAAATCAGTAAAGTGGAAAATACTGCTGAAGCAAGGGATGGAAAAGCTCCAGGACACTCCTGGGTGACTCCAGACTGGTGCCACTGTCTCAGGTTAAGTGCCTGCTGCTCTACCAGCTCCAGGCTCTCATTCTGGCTCCTGTGAAAAAACCATCAGCTTTTCTTTGGATGGGCAATGTCAGGCAGTTCAGAAAGCCCTGGGTTTTATCAATGGATTCCCACATTGGTGCTTCCTGCAGTCCAATACCTGAGAGCACCAGAGGCAAACCACGAAGAAACCTCAAAAGTCAAAAGCCGGGTGCTCAGCAAGGCTGATCTGGTTCCACACTTCAGCAGAACAAACCATTTGATCTGCTGGGAGACTGAAGAGTGAAATGCCTCTTCAAGAGACAGCAGAGCACAACATTAGTGTTGTTTCCCATTAGTAATGTCACACGAGACACCTGGTATCTGCTGCCCTGTGCCAGCTCTGGACAGACACTGTCCCTCTGAGGCACCAACTCTGCTAGATCAGTTTCAGGTTGGACAACAAAGCCCTGGCAAAGGTCCTACTCAGTGTTTCTCAGTTTCAGAGCACACAGGGTGACACCACTGCCCTGAGTTATCTGTGGGGATCTCCAGAAAGCCCCAGGCAGCAGTGCTTTCTGCAAAGGCAGACAGACAGACAGACAGACAGACACCAAACAGGACAGAAAAGCACCTGTAAAAATGCTCTGCCCTCTGTGGGAACACAGGGCAGTTCCTGCTATTACATGGAACACAACCCCAGTAAAAGAACTGGCCTGGCTGTGCTGGATTCAGAGAGGAGAACCTTATTGTTCCTATACTTGAAGCACATTGTAGAAGTGCAATCTCAACAGCTGGCTTGGAAAGAAAGAGTCCAAGTGGAAGCACAACTGCCCACAACCCCCTCACTCCCATCCACCTCTCCAAAAAGATGAGTGTGGCACAAGAAATATTTCTCCTTCTGGAAATCATTTGAGGTAATTTATGCCTGGTTTGTCTCAGAGCCCTCCTGCTCTTTTATCACCCAGCTGACACAGATGAGCATCTCTTTTTCACAAAGAATCTCCAAAACTCTGCTCTTCCAAGCTGGTTCACACTGACCTCTGCCCCTGCACGTGGGATTCTCCTGGGCACCTTCAGTGCTTGTGCTGAACAACACTTGAAAAGACAGAAGCAATTTTACCACAGATAAGCTCCTGCCAAGCCAACAGACAGCTCCTGAGCTGCTGTTGTCAGAGAACCCACCCCAGTGGCACACAAATGTAAGATACTGCCTGTCTCTCCCTCCCCCTCAAGAAGGCAATGCTGAGCAATGAAGCCCCCAAAGCCCCAGCACCCTGTACTCACCTGAGGAAAATCACCATTTTTTGGTAAGAAGTCAGTGGGGTCCATAGGTGCATAGTTTGCTTCAAAGAAATGTGGTCTGCTCATGGAATTCACATAAAAATCGTGAGGGGGATTAAAATATTGCCTGTAAGGAAATGGGAAAAGCAGTTACTTCCTGTCAGAATCAAGGACTTCTCAGGCTGCCTCAGACTCCATCCTCAGCAGTGCAGCTGCAACCCTGGGCTGACACATGCAGGGGACTGAGAGTAAGAAAAGCTGAGTCTATCCAGGAGAGATGTCTCAGGAAAATAATACCTCTACCAGCTATATGCTGCTTTCCAAACCAAGTAGTTCAAGAGCCTGGAAAGCTGTATTAAGACTTTAATTCTCAGCAATTTGTGTAAATCAGGAAGGATTTAATAGATAAAAATGGCCTGTGGGAGTAAATCATATTTCAGTCCTGACAAAAAAGCAGAATCAAGCCCCTGGGATGTCCCAGTGCCTCATTTGATGGGTGTGATGGAACGTGACAACCACACTTCATAAGGAAAAACATCAAGCTTCATGGAAATATCACATCAAAATGCTAGTCTGGGCCATAAAATGGGAACAGCCCCATAAGGGAGCAGAGAGTGGGAATGAAACCACCTCCCTGCACACCCCTGGCAGGGGCTTTACTGCTCAGAGGTCTTAGAGACAAAGAGAAGTGGCAGTTAGGGGACATGCAACCCTAGACAGAGCTCTGAGCCCAGAGAGAGATGAATTATGGATGTCAGAGCCATACCTGGTTACATAGCAAGATCTCTGCTGAACTCACCAGTGAAAAGCAAAGGTCTGAATGATCCCTCCCTCCCAGGTGAGCACATGGCAGAACCCATCCCTCACAGGTGGGCACATGCCAGGACTGATCCCTCCCAGGTGGGCACATGGCAGGACTGATCCCTCCCAGGTGGGCGCATGGCAGGATCCATCCCTCCCAGGTGGGCACATGCCAGGATCCATCCCTCCCAGGTGGGCACATGGCAGGACCCATCCCTCCCAGGTGGGCACATGCCAGGATCCATCCCTCCCAGGTGGGCACATGGCAGGATCCATCCCTCCCAGGTGGGCACGTGCCAGGACCCATCCCTCCCAGGTGGGCACGTGCCAGGATCCATCCCTCCCAGGTGGGCACGTGCCAGCCCTTCCTCCCACCTCCCTTCCCCCAGGGCTTCCTCCTCCTCGGGAGGAGGCAGGAATTGCAAAAGAGCAGAGAATTCCCTTCCTCCTTCCCAGGCCTCTGGTCTGGCTTACAGGCCCTCGCTCCGGTTTGGGTTTGCTATGACACACAAGCCTCTTCCCTCTCCTGCAGGAGCAAGGAATGTGCTTTGTAATCCTTCCCGGCAGGGCAACCCCACCCGGCCGGGCTGCCTCCCCTCGGGGCAACCGGAACGTTCCCCACCGTGCCAGGGCTGCAGAACCCACAGCAGCTTTAACGAGGCACCGGCGGGGGAGGGAGAAGCAGAAGGCAGACAGAGACCCTCCCAGGAGCAGAGCTGGGCAGGGACTGCCCGGGCACTGGGAACCAGTTACCACGTGTACTGCAGCTCATTCATACACCCAGCTCAGCACCTGCATACGTGTTGATGTGCAAACACACTTATCTCGCTCTGCTAAACACATTTTTCCTGCTCTTTTTTCATCGTTAAAGAGAATAACCTCAGAAAGGAACAGCTGCCTCCCCTGCTTTTCCTTTGCTCCTTCTTTCCAAGTGCTTTCAGAGACCCCCGGGCCAGCCCTGCCTGCCCTGCCAGCCCTGCCCTGCCCGGCCT